TAATAAATAATTTTCTGGCAAGATAATATGACACCATTGCTGTATTATATTAAACGTTTTTTTAAGTCCAAAAATACGTAAATTTCAAATAACTTTTTAAGGTAAGAGGTTTATTACAATGGGAATTTAATCAATCACCACCACTTGACACTCACAATCATTTTATATTTGTGTAATAAATCTAACTTAATTGTATCTTAACCAGCTAATGCAGTTGTATCTGTCATAAAAGAAATAAGTACCCCACAAAGTATAATTAGGAAAAAATCACAAGAAAAAAAAAGAGAGAAAAGGGGAATTCAAATTATAGAAAGACATAGCAATTTGTCTGGTTTGGATATATATCCTTTGTGCTTGATTGTGACCTAAAAGAAAAGCATTGTTTGAGGATGAACAGCACTTTCTGGGCTCCTCAAAAGATTTTGAGCATAGGATTAAGCAATCAAAAGCTTACTTTTTCTTTTGGGGTGGGCTGGTTAGCTAAGCTTGACAAGGTAATATACCTACTTCAATTATTCCAAGTCAAAAGCTGTGTCCACAAAGTATTTTTAACTTTACAAGCTTTCTTGCTTAGGTTGTTTCTCTTAGTGCAGTTCCTTTTTTTCCACCAAGCATTATTGATCATAGTAAAAACTAGCACAAGATCCAAAATCATTAATTATTAAATCACAATGACATTGACCTCACTAAGAAAATGGGATGCAAGTAAGATAAAGAAAGATCCAAGCTGTGTAGGTTTTGAAAATGACAATTGTTGTATAATTTAGGTATTCAATTATGACGGCATGATTCAAGAAATATTGTGATCAATATCTAGCGAGTTTATTCGTTCTCTTATTTGGGTAAGTCCTAAGATATAGTCCTTCAAAAGTAATATTTAGAAGGATAATTTTATACTAATCGACACACAACTTAAGCGATGGATGTAAATTAAAAGACAGTCCACGCATTTTCGATTATAGAAACTTCTTTATTTGTGTTTATCACTTAGAAACGCCGTGAATTTCAATCACTCTAGATAAGTGGACTCTATTTAAAATACCCATTTATTTCATTTACTCAACATTGTAGATGGAAATCTCAAAGTGTTGCAAAGTAAATTTTGGAGAATTGAATAAGCATTTAACACTTAGAAATGTTAAAAATACATCCATTCATATACTAAGTTCAAATAAGTTTTTGGAGAATATAAGTCATTGTTGCATCAAACGTGTGAATTTAAAATGAAAGAGTGATAATGTAATATTCCTATAATGGAAGATATTTTTATTGAAGAATTTATATGTTATTCGTCTAGCATATCCTTAATTATTTTGGAAATAGTACGGGAGTAGCATGGTTTCACTAGGGTATAATTTTATGAACTTTCTCTAATAAAATTATCTATGTTTTCTATTAAACGAAGATCCTGCAATTAAAATTTTGAATCTATGACTAATGAGTTTGGGACACCATGCTTAATTCCATCCCACTCCTGTCTTTTATTTCGTTACACAAAATGGCACAAATATCGAAAATTTAAAATTTTTTTGTAACAATTTAAATGCCAAAAATACATGGGAATGAAACAAAATAATTTCAATAATCAAGTGGTTATTGTTTAATTGATACACATAACTACTCGTATGATGTTTTCTAGTTATGAAATTAAAAAAAAAATGCAAAGCTATCAAATACTCGGACTATGGGTCGGGAATTTTTTTTCATTTCATTATTTAGGACAAATGTCTTAGCTTTTACGGAAGAAGTATACCATGCAATCAACAAATATAAAGACATAGTACAACAACAATTTCTTGTCAGTTTTTTTTTTAAAAACAGCTTGATGACAAGTGCTAGTATAAAAAAAAATAAAATGTGAAAGACATTTGAGGACCATTTTCTCCCTCTTATATATAAAAAAAATTTTTTTTAGCCCCTCATGTATAAAATGGTCCAAAGAGATCCCTCAAGATATGGTAAATGTCCAAATTTGGCCTGATTAACTATGTTAAAATAAATTTCTAGCTAAAAAATGCATGTCCATGTCGCGTGCTCATACTTTCAAGGTCAAAATCGGAGCAAAAATAATATGTTTTTCTGGAAAAAGCACTCTCACCACCCCTTTCTCTCTTTCCCCACAAGTGGTAGTGGGAAGGTTTTTTTGAAAGCAAATATTATTTTTGTTCCAGTTTTGCTCCTTAAAGTATGAGACACTTGGACATGCATCTTTTGGTCTGAAAAGATAAAATGATGATTGAAAAATATATTTGTAATAGATCATTTTTAAATCATGGTGGACCATTTTGGTCATTCTCTCTATTCAAAATATGCACTTATATCTTTGCTCCCAAATTCTTAGTAAATTGTTCTCAATGTTCGAATAACAACAAAACTCTATGTTAATGACAGGGAAAAAATCATTGGCATATTTTCACGAGGGGTGTTCAATTTTTTTTTTTTTTTTTTGCTTGCAGAAGATCATTGACTGGTTTAAAGTGAACAACAACTCTATAGAAATTTTTTCCTATACCCTCATTGATAGTCAAAAGATTTTTAATACTAGAACAGTTGAATGCATAACAAAATATTTCTCTATTAATAGAAAATGTGTTTCATACACACCTGACTTGCATTCCAACTGATTAAAGTTAAAAAAAAAAAAAAATCTTAGATAAGATTGGTCCCTACTCTATTACTAGCTTCGTTAGGACTTATTCCCAAATAAGTATTCTTGAAGATTTTTGGGTATTATTCTTTTCTCCGTGGCAAATAATGGTACCACCAGATGGCAGTTCATCCAAGTTATTTACAAGGGAAAAGCAAAAGAACCTTCGACGATTCCGGACCGAGGACAAAAGCATAACAAAGTCATCCTTATTCATTAACCTATACAAAGAAAAGAATCCGCACTTCCACGAGATTCAATAGGAATCTGGGCCAGCTGCTATCCTGTAAAGACGGATCCATTCTACCATCCTAAACTGCCCAATGACTCTCAACCACATCAGTAACACCCATGTCGCTACAAATTTACAATTACCCTTTGGATTACTTTTCTTAAGATGTTTTTATAGAAAAATAATCACTATAGCATTTTTAATGATGTGATCTATGTGAAATAAAATGGTTAAAAATATTAAAAGCTCGATTGAAAATTGTATTTGTAAGGTAAATAAAATAATATTTTGGGATCCAATGTTTTTTGTGTATGATGGATACATGATAAATACATAATTGAAAAGATAAAATGATAGTTCAATAATATATTTAATGAATATTTGAAAACTTTATTATCTTTTTTTATAATATAGACAAAAACTTGATTCTAAATGAAATAAATATTTTTTTTTACTTGTTTGTTCTAGTTCTTCATATGATGCACGATTAGAATTATACAACATTTGATAAAATTGAATTTTGAAAACTGAAATCTGAAGTGTAAAATCCGAAATCTGAATTTATTAAGTTATTGAATTGTTAAGTACTAAATTTGAGGGGAGAGGGATGGGTTGGGTGATATAGGTGGAGGGAGTGTAAGTGAGAAGTTTTAAATCTTAATTTTGATATATTTGAGTGTATATCATATTATATAATAAATAAATAACTTATCATTTATTTTTTGGAGGAAGTTCTGTTTAGAAAATTCAATACTACTTAATTAATTTAAATATTTTAGTTTCGATTATCAAAAGCATATAAACACGTTAAAATCTAAACCTATTAAATTTAAGCAAACACCGGCCGACTTTTTGTCATGCATTAAGATTTGCAATCCCATTATTACTAAAGAAAGATTAATATAGAATTCGCACAGGCCATAAATTTCTTTATATTACAAAACAAATCACATATCCATCGTTTATTTCCCAAAAAAAAAAATCCTCGATTTTGAAGCTTGACTTGTTGAGGTCTCGATCCAAATTGAAGATTTTCTTTGAAGTAATGTTAAAATATGATTTTTCCTGTCATGAAAGTAAAACAAAATTCCACATCCCAACGACCGGTTTCAAATTTGCAAGACTTTATAGTCAGATGGGTCTTACTCAATGGTCAAAGTCAACCAGTTCCCGCACCTAATAAAACCTCAAATTTTTGATTTGCTGGCGAGGGAATTTTTCACCATTGGCCTCAACTTAATATCAATTGTAGTTTATCCCCAAAATTTACTCAAAACAAATTTATTTTCTTAAAACGAGAACTTAATTCTACTTTGCCCCCCATAGTCATGTATTTTGGGATCCAGATTTCAGATTTCACTGCATTAGTTTCCAAATTTCACTTTTTCTCTTACTTTGCAAATATTAACGAAGCCATTTGATTTGTGATAACTCACGTTCATAATCTATTTTAAACAATTTACGTTTTATCTTTCTTTGGAAATATCAACGAAGCCATTTAAATTGTGGTAACTAATACTCATAATCTATTTCAAACAATTTACTTTTTCTCTTTCTATGTAAATATCAATAGAGCCATTTGATTTGTGTTGACTCTTGCTCATAGACTATTTTGAACAAATTAGACAGCATTAATTGCCCCCTTTTTTCTTTCTTATCAAAACATTAACGGGACTATTTTTAATTCGTACGATCATTAATTTTCATTAGAAATCTATCCTTTGTCAAGTGTGTCAAAATAAAAAGAAAAAATTACAAGATTTAACATTGTGAACTAACATATATTAAAACATCATATCATCTTCACAAGTGATTTTACTTTTCAAAAAACACTTGTTTAGATTATAGTTTATTTGCTTGTATCATCAACACATCTTCCAATTAACTTTTTATCTCACATACATTATATACAGTATTTTTTTTAAAAAAAATTTATCTCAAATAATCTACTATTTAAAAGTTTCTATAATTACATTTAACTATTAATCGAACTGGGGTACTAAATTGAAACAAGTACATAATTCAAGGGACAAACTAGTCTTCTCATTACTTTTGAAACTTCCCCAAGGCTTCCACAAAGTGCACAACCCCACACTTTGCTCTGCCACTTTCTTTTCCAAAGTTCCCACAAACTCAAAAGAAGAACCCCACCTCCCAACCCAAAAAAAAGGCTTTCATTTACTTCTTCTCTTTCTTCCCAGTTCCCACTTCTGAAATTCTTAACCAACTTTTGAAATTTCCCCGTCAAAAACAGAACAATTCATCGAAATAACTAAATAAAGAAAAAAAATGGAAAATCCAAGTCCTAGTCCAAATCCAAGTTCAACCCCTCCAACCGCCGCCAACCACCAGCACCAGCACCAGCACCAGCACCAGCACACCAATTCCTCCTCCACCGCCACGCCCAGAAAAAACTTCAAGAGTGACAGTCACAAGAGCACTAGATCAACATCAATGTCGGATACCGAATCTCAAGTCGACTCGTTCCACTCCCCACTCCGATCAATCTCGCCACTCCACTCCGACGACCCTGTTTTCAAATCCCCTTCCGATTCTAAAGCAATTGTTTCGGTTGATAAGTACTTCTCCCCTCTCCGGTCACCGAAAAAGCCATGGTCGGAGAATTCGAGTTTTCCGGCGACTCCCTTGACGGCGGACGGAGGAGGGAAGGACGGGACTGGGAATCCGTCGCAGGGGATGATGATGTTTAACCGGTCGGTGAGAGATGGAGTGCAGCCGGGAGTGGAGAAGTTGGAGATGGGGCTCGGTCGGAGAGGCGAACGTGATGAGGTCGGCGGAGAGCGTCCGTCCAGGGCGGCGGTTGATTCGATTTTGCGGAGGTCGAATAGGGATGTGATGGTGAAGAAATCGGCGTTAGGGTTTAGGATTTGTGAGGTGATTTTGTGCTTGATTGCTTTTTCAGTTATGGCTGCTGATAAAACTCAGGGTTGGAGTGGTGATTCTTTTGATCGCTATAAAGAATATAGGTTCCATTTCTTTCTCTATTTCTCCGCTATTTGTGAATCGATTCTACTGTATAAATTGTTTATTCAAATAAGAAAAAAAAAGAATGAATGGAGGAAGAATTTGTCATGAGTTATACTTACATTACCATCAAACGTTAACTGTAAAAAATTCTGTGCTCAAGCAAGCATGTAAGCACCTGGTAGATTTTATTAAGTTTATTTTACAGTAAAGATCAAATTTTTTTGGCACAGGTACTTGGTTGGGGTAAATGTGATTGGATTTGTATATTCCGGGTTCCAAGCTTGTTGTTTGGCTTATTATTTGGCTACTGGAAATCATGTCATTTCAAGCCCACTGCGTTACTTCTTTGATTTCTTCATGGATCAGGCAAGTAATGTTCATGTACTGTTCTTCACAATGTTCATATGGTGATTTTCTCTTCACCCCTTTTCATGAGTAAATGTTTGCTCTTTATGATGTAATTACAGGTGATCTTGTGTGTTCTCTTCTTTGTTTGTTTGTTTGGATTGTTAATTTGCATGTTTGTTACTAGTTGAATAAAGGCTGGTATAGGAAAGGATTGACCGAGCTATTGTCTGCTTGAGCTAAATTATAAGTGATCTGACTAATATTTGGTTCAGAGTAAGATCAATGTCACCTACTTGCTAGAGTGTTGGGGAGTGCTATTTTTCTGCTTCTCACTTATATCTTACCGCTGAAAATGTATGATTTCTCGAATGATGAAAAATATCCAGAATAAAACTTCTTTTGTTCCTGTAGTTGCATCATTCTGTCCATTTTTGAGGGCTGATTCTGCTGTTCTGGAACAAACAAATTTTGAGGTCTGATTTTTGGTCTGTTCAGATGAGGCTGTTTTTGGCATTCAGTGCTTCAATTTTATTTTAGTCAAAGCAAGTTCAAAAGGAGCGATATACGTAAATTTCAGCAGGAAAAAGACCTGTTTAGTAGTTCGATTGCTAGCAATTATCTTTCCAAATGTGCCTTCAAGAATGTTTGTAAATTTCCTCCGTTTGGATTGGCCATTTTTTCAATAACAAGTTTTTCAAATACAATGCTATAGTAATATACAATAACTCAAAAAAGATCTCATCCATACAATATATCAAATATTTCAAAAAAATTTTATAGTAAAAATTTTTCATATACACTGTTACAGTAAAATTTTTCAAAAACACCTAATCCAAATGGCAAACTTTTGTTGGGCATGCCTCAAACACCTGACTTGTACACATTAATTTGTTGAGGCTCCTTTATACAAGTATTGTCAACCTCTACTTAATGCTGCTATCTATGGTTGCTGCATATTTGGGATAATTATACATGCTTCCTTTGCTTTCTGAAAGGATTTTATCCATTTCACTCGCAGATACTTGCATATCTTATAATGTCAGCATCATCCTCATCAGCAACCAGGGTGGATGACTGGGTGTCAAATTGGGGTAAAGATGAGTTCACAGAGATGGCTGCTGCATCTATTAGCATATCCTTCCTGGCATTTTTTGCATTTGCCTTCAACTCTCTCATATGTGGTTACAGTTTATGCAACCGTGACTCCAGTTGATCTTCATATCGATTGGTACTTTCCTTTCCTGCAAATAACTCTGAAGCTGTACAGCCCTAGTGGTATAATCAAGATTAAATTTTCCTTCTTGCTGTAGATAAAAGGAATTTGTAAAAATAGATGTTAGGTGAAATGGATTTCGACTCTATTCAACAAAGATGCCTAATTACACCTCGCATGCTTGGGGTATGTATTTATTTTTCAATGTTTTCCCAATCTAGGATACTGATATAGCCAGGTATCTTTTTGATGTCTATGGGCATGAGCATTTTGCTCAAGTGACAGAGGAATTCATGTTTGCTTCTTGCAAGTTTAGGATTTGTTCAGGAATATCCGCTCCCAAAACCAAATTGCTTGATATTTGAAAGAGCTGGAAATTTTCCATGTAGAACAGAATTACCAATGAGCTAGCTACTCAGGGTGCTATCTTCTCTTGTTTCTTTGAAGCTTAATCATCTCTTGACGGTTGATCTCGTTAATCCTGGCTTCTCCAGAGGAAAAACGGTGGAAAGAAGAGGTGTGAAGAGAATCAGTTTTCTAAGACATAAATTAATTGGATCCTGTAATAATTGGTGTATAATCTGGGATGGAATTTGGACAACTCCATTTAAATTCCCCTGATCCCCACCTTGGGCTTTCTGGTTTTCTGGATGGTCTGCTATCACGATTTTGATATTTTGACATCATTCCTCTGAATGTGGTAAACGCTTTTTTTTTTTTTTCCTTTCTAATAAAAATATAATGAAACATGGCAAGATCAATTAAATCCAATCTTTTTCCATCAGTACATAATGGTGAACGCTAATACAAAGGTTCCTGAGGGTTCTATTTAAATTGCATTGTTTGGATGAGATTTTAGAAAGAGTGTATGCGTAATAAAAAAGAAGATGGAAACATGTTAAAAGAACTTTTCCCAAAAATCAAAAGGGATTCATATGGATAAAGTGTGATTAAAATATTGTTTGGAACAGCTTTATTGAATATTTCGTAAGTATTTTTGAGTTTATTGCCAAAATAACTCTTCTTTTGAAACATATACCCAAAGTAATCTAATTTTAAAATTTATTACCTTTATAATTCTTTTTTTTCTACATAGGTTGCATATGTGGTAGGATAGAGATAGAGGCACATATTATCTCTTTTTCCTAATTAATATCTTCCTTGATTCTCTCTCTGAACCTACCCATTTTTTTTTTCCTTTATTATTTTTTGTCCTTTCATTATTTTTCCTTGTCAAATGCAATTGTTAAAAGTCAATATTTATATTAACAACATCTAAAACTTCATTATCATTCCTAATATTGTATCTGTAGATGAAAATATTCTCCTCGAATTGATAATTTCAAGGTAAATGAAGATTATTCTTTTGTCTTTTCTGTTGTGCAGGGTTCGTTTGGATTGGCTGTTTTTGGGGTTGTTTTTTAAAAACTATACTATTCATTTTTTGAAAAACAGCAAATGTTGTTTGGATTAGCTGTTTTTGAGAAACAACTTGTTTTTAAAAAACAAGCTTATTTGGATTATTTGTTTTTGAGAAACAACTTGTTTTTCAACAAGCTGGTTTGGATTAGCTATTTTTGAAAAACATCATTCAAATTGGTAATTAAAAAAATCAATAAATTTCATTCAACAAAATACTTTATCAGTACAACACTGGTATAATTAAAAGTAAACTTAATAGATAGAGATTTTGCATAAGTGTACATGCCATATACAATAGCCACCGTGGAACCATTATTTATGGTTTGCCATTCGCAATCCGCCCACCAGTTACAAAAGCACAAAATAGATAACGACAAAATGGAGCTACTAATGTTGGTGATAGTACATGCTGTTTGCCAAGGCGCTCCTGAATTCATTCCAACCAGCAATTCCTTGAGGCGACATATCCAGTGGTTCTGCGCCGGCCATTTGATCCACCACATGATTTATATTATCTCCCTTTGCTGCAATAGTCTCTTCTTCAACAAAATATGCGTCATTCGGGACATTATCGCGCATAAAGTTGTGCAATGCACAGCAAGTCAGGACAATATTATTCTGTGTCGCCATCAAATAGTTCTGCATGGGGCCCTTAAATATCGGAAATCGCTTCTTAAGAACACCAAACGTGTGTTCTATAATGTTTCGTAAAGATGCATGGCGTCTGTTGAAAAGTGTTCTTGCTGCCCGCTCCTGTTGGGTTCCCCGTGCACCCCTAAAGGGAGTCATAAATCCTGGCATGTTCGTGTATGCCGGATCCACCGCATAATACTTCCCTGCACACAAAGTAATTATAGTTAAGTGCATTATAAATATTACTATAAATGTTTTAAGAAAAGTCATGCGATAAATTCCAAATGGATGATTTAATACCCAAATTACCTTCTGGTGGCCGTGGAAAAGCACAATTAGGATCAAGTAAGACATCTTTTAAGATCTTAGAATAATGTGCGCTACCCTCCCACCCTACCCTGACATAAGTGAATCGTATATTATGATCACACACTGCTAATATATTTTGCGATAAGCCGCCATGCCTATTCCGATAACGCTCCCTGTCTTCGGCTCTACACCAAGCTGAAACATGCGTTCCATCAATAGCTCCAACACAATCCTAATCACAATAAGTAGACGTTCAGTCTTCTATAGATTATAATTAATAAGAGATTTCACAAAATATCTCTAACCTTAAACCAGGGCCAAAACGTAGCACTGTTCTGTATTCTTGGATTCGTCGTGTGATAATCTATCTGCCGGACAAAGTCGCGTCCCAAGCGAACGAGAGATCAAAGGCATCGTCGTAGATGACGGTCCGTGGTCTCGGTTGTGCGTTGGAATCTCTCGGCTAGCACCCTATGTCGCTCGTTATGACTCAAGCAAAGAAGGCAAATGGCGAGAGACTCGTGAATGCCTACCCGTCCTGTCGGGTGGGGCTCCCAATAGCCCCTCTCAATCAACAAATCACATAACTGGAGGAAAAGCGGAGCTTCCATTCGAAGGTTGTCGAATATTCTGTCTCGATGGCCGTTTATGAGTTCTACAACCCATTGAGCACCCGACTGTGCACCATCTCGAATTCGTCGGCGCTCCACAAGGTTTAGATATGGGTCGAACAGAGCCAATCCAGCAAGCACAAAGTAGATGAAGGTCAAAAGTATCTCCTCCTCATTTTCTTCGTCGAAGAAATCCCCACCTTGCAAATAATGCTCATACTCCATTTCCAAATGTGATCTCGGCAGCCAAAGTCACTCGTGATCCTGAGAAAAAGGGCCATTTTCAAAAGGCATGATCAACAACAACGCCATTATCTCCTAATTAAAGCATACTGGCAAATAGCTATATAGCATCAGCAAATCAAGAAGGCAGGTTATATGCTATTTCGGGTAACAAATCTGAAAAAAAAATCCGCCACATGATTTCTGTTTATATGGCAATAGCTCTTGGAATATATATTCACCACAGTGAATAAGATTCCAAGTCAAGACAGCTACTAACAAGCCAATAAGTGAATATTTGGACAGCAACAAAACCTGGCCAATCATATACCTTAGGACAGCATGTTACTTTGCCATTTCAGTTCACAACATTTGTAGCTATGAACAAATGCCTTAAAACGAGTAACCTGTTGTTAATGAAAACTAGCACCACATTCCTAATCCTATCCTTAGAAATTATCCCACAAAGTCATCCCCAAAAATATATACTACTCATGGTTTTAAATAGTAACCAACAGAGGACCAAACACAATTAACTCAAAACCTGCGTTTCGACATATAATATCCAGGGCATTCATGGACACAAAGCACCCCTGAATTTAGAGATTAACCAAGATAGTCAATGCCACAAACACATCATCAATAATAATAAAAACTCAACAACTCCAACCCAATGCAATAAAAACTGAACAAACTCATGCCCAGTACGGGGCCGGAATCCAAATAGACAAATCACAACACCTCTGAAAAAAAACACTCAAATGTATCGGTAGCAAATGCTACAACAAGCTGAGTTGGCTATAAAGAAATCATAGTCAACAACTCAAGTCTCAGATACAAGCTCCCGATGGAAATGAAACGCCTAGAACGGAGGTGGGGGAGGGGGCTCCTGCGTATCAGGTGGGAAACAGCCTTTTATTTTCATAAATGTGATGCGGTCGGCGTCCGATTGTGCTAAATTCCAAATGGCCAGCTCTTGTTTATCCTTCAATATTTCAGTCACGGCCATTTTGGAGGCGTACGAAACGTTCTCCATTCCCCGAAGTTGATCCATGGCAGCTTCATAGGCAGTTTTGGGAAGGCCACCGCGGCCGGAACACTGCTTGTCCGGAGAACTGACTGACACGCCCATGCTGTTGCTCTTATGGCGACTAACCAGGGACTCAATGGTGTCAAGAGCCTTCATGTACCTATCAGAAGCTGAATGGGAGGCGGTGGACATAGGACTACCGCTTGACATGTCCCCCGATTTCCGCTTTCCTTTGCCCTTTCTCCCTTTCGCTTCATTTGCCCCTACTAACTCAGTTTCAACACCCTCGTGCGCAGCGTCCGACCTTCCCTTTCCCCGTGACGATCGGGTAAGGTTCTCCATATATCTCTCCTCGGGTGAAGTACGGGGCTCGTTCTCAAAGCCAGCGCTGAAATCTCCCGTTGCTCCTTGGTTGACAAAAACCTCCTCAAGCAAGTGGTAGACGGTGCAGTCATCTTGAAATTTTAAATATTTTGGGTTCACCTGACAAAAAAAAAAAAACACAGCCAAAAGGTTATTTGAGGGAGCTGCACGTATAATCTGATTAACTTTTAACAGCCATAAATTGATATAAAAACAGTTTACTTGACAAAAAATACCTGTGCAAGCTCAGCCCACTTGCTATCGTCCATGAGCCAGGTAAAGTTCTGGCTATCCCAATCCAGTCCCGTTTCCCGCCTCTTGAAGGCAATGTACAGCTTGGTAAGTTCTCGCAAGGCATAGTATTTGGCTCTTATGCTGTCCCTTGTGAACGATGTGCCAAATTGGCAGTTCAACTGCTGTTGAATCTCGGGAACCACGTAGCTACCAATATTATTGTCCCTAATTTCACTAGCTCTATGCATGCTGACTAGGCGGTTGGCAATTTCTATTTCCTGCTGCCTAGTGAAATAAAATTTCTGCCCACCTGGATTGCGCCTTTGTTTTCTCATCTTATTAACCCATAAACAAAGGCAATCAGAAACGTTGGTACTTATACTATCGGCCGGACAAAACAGAGATGAAATAATAAGTAGCGAAAGTAGAGGACTAGCATGTATTACCTTGTAGTAGTTAGAAATGCACTTTTGTAAATCGTTTTCCCCCCAAGCTGAGTTGGATCCCCAACAATTGTCACAATTTTTCGTCTTCAATCCTGTGTTTACACACGAGTCAAAATTAGTCGCACT